TACCGTAGACGATGGTGCACAGTTATACACCCTCGTCAACGGTATGACGGGGGAGGAATATGGCGACGTTCGCCTCGAGGCTATGCCCGCAGTAGATGCTCTTCTTGATCCAGACGAGATGTCTCTTGAAGAGTTCGGCAGTGCCTTGATGGCAAGCGATTTGGTCTAAGTGGTCAGTGTACGACCGGACGAAGAGATAACCTCGTCATCGCTTCTGGATGAAGCTGTCTTGGAGAATACTAAGAGAGTGCTGAACGCACGAAGTGGATCGTCGATCCTACGGAATCCCTTGGATCCGTACTATTCTTTGGTAAAGGAATTTCAAGACGTCGTCTCCGAAGACCCGCCTTCAGTCCAACCTCCGGACCGAGATGTACGTCATGAAATCGACCTGATTCCGGGAACCAAATACTGCGCAACACGCCGATGGCCCTTGCCCAAAGCTGGCGAGGTTCGAATGCGATCACCCGATCTCGCCCCTCGGCGTCTGCTTGTAGCAGTGCACACCCGATGGCAAAGTTCGAAGCTTCACAGATGACGCTGAAAGAACGATCAGGGTCTGACAGCGCCAGTATTGGTGCATGGAGGAGGCTGTCTTTGACCCCGTCAAAAGCCCCCTGATGTTCGGTGTTCCAACACCATTCCGTGTCCTTTTTAAGGAGATTGAATAATGGCGGGGCCATTTTTGCGAAATTTACGCTGTGCTTGAGCAAGTAGTTGACGATGCCAAATCACTTGCGCAAGTCCTTTAGATTCCTGGAGGCCATTCCACAATGGTCTTGATCTTAGCGGAACCCGCTCGAAGGCCACGCTTCCCAATGAAGCCCCCTAAAAGGGAATGTCTTCCGCGCAAAATATGCACTTATCGACAGCTTGTTCGTGCGCATGCACTCGAGCATCGCTCTCAATTGAACGATGTGGTCTTCCTCATCTATCTTCACGCGCCTCGCACGACTGTGGACGAAGATGTCGTCGAAGTATGTCTGTTCATACGCCCGATGGGGCCTAAAAGTGCGTCACGAGACGATTATATTTTGCTGGTGCATTTGACAGCCCTTGGAGCATCACTAGCCACTCTCGGAGCATCCAGCTCGGAGTACTGACCGCTGTCAGCGTAAATATCACTCGCTCTCATGAGCAATCGGTAATAACCATCGATAAAATCGAGTGCGCTGTACTTTGTACAGCCAACCATATTGTTCTGGAGAACATCCTCTATAGGAATTGGCGTCTTAGCTGAAAAGGTGGCAGTGTTGACTTAATTTAAGCGTAAATGACACGCTACTTGCCGTTCGGCTTCCGGACACAAAGCGTGGTTGTCGAATGGGGAGACTTGCTCTCACGCACTATTCCTGCCTCGTGGTTCGCTCAAAAAAGGCATCAATGACGTCACATTGCTGTTTGGACAAAGAACATTGGCGTGTTACACAGGATTCGGTTCCCGGGATCAGGTCAATCTCGTGACGCACACCTCGGTCCATAGGGAGGTCTGACGGCGGGTCTTTGGAGAAGACATCTTGTGATTCCTTTACCAAACGATAATGCGAATCCGAAGGATCCTTAAAGATCAACGATCCACTTCGTGCTTTCAGCACTCTCCTAATGTTATCCAGAACAGCTTCATCTAGAAGAGACGACGAGTTAATCTCCTCGTTCGGTAGTATAATGACCATCTCGGCTAAATTACCTGCCATCAAGGCACCGCAAAAATCTTCGAAGGATACTCGTCCAGCCCAAGAAGAGCATACACCGCGGGAATAGCCTCGAGGTGATGTCGCTGTCTTCCTCTCCCGTCATACGGTTGACCAATGTATATAGCTGTGCACTATGGTCTACGGAAGACACACCCGAGATCAGTGTAGACGCCCTACGTCTTGCAGATGACATACCGCTTCGCCGTCTTCTCTCTAAAGAGGTTCTATGTCTCATCGGGACCATTGGGAACACGCACTGGGCGTCGACTAGTGTCCCCACTCCCTGCTCCATCGGAGCCATGTTATTATTAACAACATCCGACGAAAAGCTGCTATTACAGCAGTCTTCGTCCAGTGGGTAACGTACCACTCCACGGGCATCAAAAGAGCCTTGCCCAGGATGTCTCGGTCCTCGTCCGACCATGCCACTCTTGGCATGCAGCAACTGCTTCGAAGCATAAGCAGTGCCACGCGCATCAGATGGGCCTCGCCCTTGATGCCTCGGACCTCGTCCAACCATGCTATTTCTGGCATGCGGAAACTTCTTCGTAACGTGAGCAGTGCTCAGTGATTTACGTGCCACTCCACGTGCATCACAAGGGTCTCGCCCTTGATGCCGCGACCCTTGACCGACCATGC